ACTTCTAAACATTTCCGGCTTCGTTTACTAAGAGCTCTTGTTGCTTTCCTAATTGCTGCATGATTTTCCTTAATATTAACTGCAACATTTAGAATACGCCAAAGAAGTGCATCCCTAGTGTCAACTTTGACTTTGTATACCTCACTTTTGAACCATCCCCACAAACAATAATCAAGTGCTGTGAGATCTAGAGATCTTGGAGGCCAACTAATAGGACCACCACGACCAATCCAACGCCCTGGAAACCTTCCGTCCAAATGTTGCTTGACCTGACGAGCGAAATGCGCCGGAGCTCCATCGTGTTGAAAGTACATTTGCCTTCTAATGTTTAGAGGAACATCCTGCAGTAAATCATTTAATTCATTTTGTAAAAACTCTAGGTAATGGTTTCCTGTGAGGCGATTCTCCAAAATGAAAGGGCCAATTAAATAACCGTTGATCATACCACACCACACATTTACCGAAAACTTGTGTTGAAAGTTGTTTTCGATTGTTGCATGGGGATTTTCATCGGACCATACGTGACTATTACGAGTATTATGTAGGCCGTCGCGGGTAAATGTTGCTTCATCCGTGAAAAGAATATGCGATACAACACGATGATCATTATTTATCCACCGACAAAATTCGACTCGTTTAACATAATCTTCCGGCAGTAGATGTTGTACCTTACCTAAATGGTATGGATATAAGCATTGCTCGTGGAGTGTGTTTATTACTCTCTTTTGTGGGATGTCTAATNGCGAAGAAGACGAGAAGCAAAGGAAAAGAATATCAGCGCGAAATCAATTAGAAGGTTATGTGTTTGGTTTAAAACAAGCCGTTGATGAAGCTGGGGATAAATTAGACGAATCTGATAAGAGTGCCGTTCGGAGAGAATGCGAGGATTGTTTGAGGTGGTTGGATGGTAACACTTTAGCTGAAGTTGAGGAATACGAAGAGAAGCAGAAGAAATTGTCTTCGATTTGCAATCCAATTATGGCAAAAATGCATGGTGGAAATGGAGGTGGTCAAATGCCTTCTGGTAATTGTGGTAGTCAAGCCGGTGGTTTTGGAAACTATCAAAATCGGGGGCCAACTGTTGAAGAAGTCGATTAAAGTGTGATTTATTTTGGTAGTTCCTAAAATGTCTACTATAACTAATTATGTAAATTTTAAATATGTATGTTATGTTAAGTACAATCAGTATTTATAGCTTTTACATTCAATGTGATATAACTAATTAATAAATTGTGTTTTAAACCTTTATAAAATTGTTTTAATTCATACATATCGTCACCTAAGAATTATTTTGAACTATGTCCAGTTTTGTGTTGTACGCAGTTACAACCACTACATTATATTATATACCAATTCCCTGCTACTTAGTGATAACAGAGTATGCAACCACGTGACATAGCACTCGGTTCAAAATGATAGTTTCAATTAATTACTGATCTCTCCTAACAGTATGAGTTAATAATTATGTTTTAGTGGTCTTTAGTGGAAAAAGTGTCAATAAACAACCAATACTGGATGTATTACCTTTAACGTAAGTACAAGTATGGAGATAAATGAAATTTCTAACTTACATAATCTTCACACTCCAACGTAAGTAATGTTCTTTTGTTTTAAGTATAAGTACGTTTCATAATTTATGAACGTTTAAAATGGTTCCAATCAACTCCAACAAACATCTATTTCGGAAACGGGTAAGAAATGTCGAAGAATGGAAGCAGAACGTGAGACAGCGGCGTAGACAAGTTGGGCTGGGTTATTTTGAGTTATACCGGATGATGCATTTAAATTGAGACGACCTTATAACTCATAAACGATAAATTTTGTTGAAAAAAAGTTTCAGATAAAACTTTCACCAGTTGAGAAACGCTGGTATAAGATACTCTGATACAACAAATGACCATCTATTTTACAGCATTTGAAAAGTAATCGCGCCAATTTAGAGCTTTTTTGAATCAACGTTGACTGAAATATGGGGGTTTAAAGAGCAATGAAATTTGCCAAAATTTTTTATCGTAGTCAACATATTTTTTTACGTACAATTAAAAGGTGCAATAAAAACGATAGCATTCCATTTAAAATAACCAAGTTATGGTCCAAGGTTTATATACATGTGTCCCAAAACTCAATGTCAAGCGGATACCGAGTGAGAGGCCAACCCAAACCTGTTCTGGTAAAAATAAAAAAAAAATTCCATTTTTGAAAATGTTAAAAATCGTTCTCGTACATCATAGCTTTAGGTACTACGGTCAGAAATGGTCGTGATTTTTTTAATAATGGAATCCAATCAAACAACAAAAGTCGTTAATTTTCCGAAAAAAATATTAGTTTTATCAAGTTAAAGTTAAAAGAATTTATGTCTATTAAAAAGACTACAGCACCCTTGGCAAGTAATTAATTTTAAAAGATGGCTTGTTTAGTCAAGTTTCCAAAATGGTATAACACTTGCCATTTTTCTTGTCATAAAAAATATTATTGCCTGTTTTTCTGCAAAAAAACACGTTATTTAAAAAATTCATACCTTCGTATGCTATTTGTATTTACGATTTATTTCCTCTTAACTTTGTTAGAAGATGTGCCAGACAATATCTACGAACTACAAAATGTAGTTTCAATAAGATGGTTGCACTTATGCTTGTAGAAAGATTGTTTCGAATATGGTTGTTAACCTAAAGACAAAATTAAACAAAATTAATATTTATTATTATTAATTTTATTGCATTATTTTCTAAAAAATTTTCTAAAAACTAAAGCAAATTCTCAAATTTTTTGCTATCGGCACTACTACAAGCGCTGTATCATCGCAGAAAATATCTTTTTACTAGTTGTGCACATTAAAAAGAGTTTTTTTCAATTTAAACTTTTTATTATAAATGATTATAACCTTTGAATTTCCATTAAAGGTCGAGAATTTGCAGTTACATTACGTTTTGCGGTCGATCTTTAAATTTCTTGGTCTATTTTAAACCATATGGATTAACTGTCATACTGTGTAGAGTTTGTATTGTCGTCCTCTGTAGTAGCAATAATAGGAGTACTTTCATCGGTTGATGTTGAAATCATTCCACTCAACAGGCGTTATACGTTTTGGAAGACATTTTCTTTGGCATCGCTTTGCTCAAATGCAATGTCTTTAAACCTAGGATCAAGAAACGTGTATACGGCGCACAGTGGTTTAAATTCGAAAAAACCCGAACAATAGTATATTAAAAAACAAGTTTCGTAAGACACGCTTGAAATGCACGAATTCAAATTGAAAAACGAGTGGCGAAGCCACGAGTTTTTTAATGAATGAGTGCTTTAAGTCTTATGAAACGTGTTTTTTATGCTATTTTTTGTAATTCGCGTTTTTATACTTTTTTTTTAACAAAAATAAAGTAAATTTTGGCAATGTAGGGAAATAGGTATGTAGCAGTTGGTAACACCGGAACACTTGAAAATAGAAACTTTGTCTTGACAATTAGAAACTGTCAAAACACAAAATATATTCACCTGAAAAAAATGTTTGATGTACACCTCCCAAAATAAGAGAAATTGCTCAGAGTCAATGTCCTCATCATTGTGGACCTTGTATTCGATGCTAAGAACGTGTTTAAACATCCATAGACAAAAATTGTCACATTGACAACTAGAAAAATTAATGACCCAATGTCACCAACTTGAACTGGTTCCATAAAATGTTACTAAAATCTCATTAAAGCATCGGATGCTGTAAGGAGTCTCATTACAGCACCCGTTTGAGTACTGTTATAGCTTCCATTACCGCATCGAATTACAAAAATTAATTTACACATGCTCTGCATCGGGGAGTTGGCTAAAATATTGGATCTGCAATTCCACAGGTAAAGCTCATTGACACTACGTGTTGCACACGCCGCGCCGTTGTAGTATACATAATTTATTGGCGAAATTGCCTCGTTCATGACTTATTATTAAGTTTCTTACTTGTACGACCTTATTTTGAGTATAATACGTCTTCGGCGGTTAAAAAAATGAAGCCGAGGTCGCTTGCGGTCGAGGTAAAAACTTGTTCATGACTTATCATTGAGTTTCTTGCTTGTATGACCTCTTTTGAGTCGGAAATGTCTTCGCCATTTCTAACAATTAAGCCGAGGTTGCTTACGGCCGACGCAATAGCTCGTTCATGACTTGTCATTAAGTTTCTTGCATGTATGACCTTTTTTTGAGTCTGAAATGTCTTCGCCGTTTGAAACAATTAAGCCGAGGTCGCTTGCGGCCGAGGCTAAAACTCGTTCATTACTTGTCATTAAGTTTCTTGCATGGATGACCTCTCTTAAGTCTGAAATGTCTTCGACGTTTCAAGCAATTAAGCCGAGGTCGCTTGGTTCCGAGGCAAAAGCTCGTTCATTACTGATCATTAAGTTTCTTGCTTGTATGCCCTCTTTTTGGGTCTGAAATGTCTTCGCCGTTTCAAACAATTAAGCCGAGGTCGCTTGGGGCCGAGGCAAAAGCTCGTTCATTACTGATCATTAAGTTTCTTGCTTGTATGCCCTCTTTTTGGGTCTGAAATGTCTTCGCCGTTTCAAACAATTAAGCCGAGGTCGCTTGGGGCCGAGGCAAAAGCTCGTTCATTACTGATCATTAAGTTTCTTGCTTGTATGCCCTCTTTTTGGGTCTGAAATGTCTTCGCCGTTTCAAACAATTAAGCCGAGGTCGCTTGGGGCCGAGGCAAAAGCTCGTTCATTACTGATCATTAAGTTTCTTGCTTGTATGCCCTCTTTTTGGGTCTGAAATGTCTTCGCCGTTTCAAACAATTAAGCCGAGGTCGCTTGGGGCCGAGGCAAAAGCTCGTTCATTACTGATCATTAAGTTTCTTGCTTGTATGCCCTCTTTTTGGGTCTGAAATGTCTTCGCCGTTTCAAACAATTAAGCCGAGGTCGCTTGGGGCCGAGGCAAAAGCTCGTTCATTACTGATCATTAAGTTTCTTCTATGTACGACCTCTTTTGTGTCTTAATGTCTTCGGCGGTTAAAAAAATGAAGCCGAAGTCACTTGTGGCCAAGGTAAAAACTTGTTCATGACTTATCATTAAGTTTCTTGCTTGTACGACCTCGGTTTGAGTCTGAAATGTCTTCGCCGTTTGAAACAATTAAGCCGAAGTTGCTTACGGCCGAGGCAAAAGCTCGTTCATGACTTATCATTAAGTTTCTTGCTTGTATGAACCCGGTTTGAGTCTGAAATGTCGTCGCCGTTTGAAACAATTAAGCCGAGATCGCTCACGGCTGACGCAAAAGCTCGTTTATGACTTATCATTAAGTTTCTTGCTTGTATGACCTCTTTTGAGTCTGAAATATCTTCGTCGTTTGAAACAATTAAGCCGAGGTTGCTTGCGGCCGAGGCAAAAGCTCGTTCAATACTTATCATTAAGTTTCTTGTATGTATGACCTCTTTTGTGTCTGAAATGTCTTCGCCGTTTCTAACAATTAAACAATAGCTCGTTCATGACTTATCATTAAGTTTGTTGCTTGTATGACCTTTTTTTGAGTCTGAAATGTCTTCGCCGTTTGAAACAATTAAGCCGAGGTCGCTTGCAGCCGAGGCAAAAACTCGTTCATTACTTGTCATTAAGTTTCTTGCATGGATGACCTTTTTTGAGTCTGAAATGTCTTCGACGTTTCAAGCAATTAAGCCGAGGTCGCTTGGTTCCGAGGCAAAAGCTCGTTCATTACTGATCATTAAGTTTCTTCCATGTACGACCTCTTTTGTGTCTGAAGTGTCTTCGACGGTTAAAAAAATGAAGCCGAGGTCGCTTGCGGCCGAGGTAAAAACTTGTTCATGACTTATCATTAAGTTTCTTGTTTGTATGACCTCGGTTTGAGTCTGAAATGTCTTCGTCGTTTGAAACAATTAAGCAAAGGTCGCTTGCGGCCCAGCCAAAAACTCGTTCATTACTTGTCATTAAGTTTCTTGCATAGATGACCTCTTTTTAGTCTGAAATGTCTTCGCCGTTTCAAACTATTAAGCCGAGGTTGCTTACGGCCGACGCAAAAACTCGTTCATGACTTATCATTAAGTTTCTTGCTTGTATGACCTCGATTTGAGTCTGAAGTGGCTTCGCCGTTTCAAACAATTAAGCCGAGG